CATCAGTTCTAAAAATTAGGATTGTTATGCAGTATATTACACTGTATACAGCACATGGAAATAGGCTAATTCATCCCCAGTGTTTGAAAGAAATGAAATGTGTTAAAATTTAGCAAATTATGAATTAAAGTGTTCAAACTATTTTGGTACCCTAGCCAGGCAAGGCTGCGCAGGAACACAGCACTCCTTCCTGATTCCGCCCCTTGTTAATGTTCTCTTCCTCTTCCCAAAACCCCATCTCCCTCTTCTCTTGCAATCCAAAACTTAAATATCCTTCAAGACCTAGCTCCTCTAGCCTTTTCTAAAAACTCTGCCTTTTCACAATTCTTACAGCAATCAGAGTCTGTAGTGGAGTGCTCAGTTTGAGACTGTCCTGTGCTGTTCATGAATTGTTTTATGAATATCCTCTTCTATCTACCCCCATTATATTATATAAGCTCCCATCACAAGCTTTGAATACACCATTGGGGATTGATAACATCTTGTAGAACTGGTTGACTAACTGATAATATATAAATTGGGATTAGTAGCAAGATACAAAGTGTCCTGTGTCGGGGATAATATCTCACAAAAATCACGAACTATTACATTAAGACAGGGCACACCTTTGGTGAGGAGACCAAGGCCAAGAGAGTCTCAATAAATTGGACAAGTTCAGAGAGCTAGTTAGTGGCAGAGCTTGAACTATAACTCTGGTCTCCAGCTTCAGGTTCCTGAAATTTGATAAAATCTTGGAGGTAAGTACCATAGGTAAATACAGGCCATAGTATTTCCTGACAGGGTTTGGTGATGCGTCATAATGAGAGTGGAGTGAAGAGTACTCTAGGTTCCCCCAAACCAAAATGGCCCTTCAAGTTAAGTTACCTAGAATGCCGTCCTTTCCAGGGACTCCCTCAGGAAGACAGGCCTTCCATTTGCTCCTCCCTTTTCTGAGTAAGAAAACCCTGAGTCAGAGAGAACCATTCCCAGCTTATAACCAGGGTTGGAGGCAAACAAATGATAAAGTAACATTGTCTTTTGGAATCTCACAGTGATAGGATCTCCTTGTTTTACTGAGGAACCCCTCAAAGATAACTGGGTTTTAGAGGAGTCTGTTTAGCTGAGTTATGATATGTGCACGTAACTGTATACTATTGAAGATCAGACCCCTAATTGATGAGACTGTTTTAATATGTGTCCTCAATATATTACCTCACTATTAGAAAAACCATCCATTTCTGAAGCCCAGTTTCCCGGTCTCCGCTCATTATTTCCACCACATAAATATTGAAGCCCTATAATCTGAAGATCTAATGTGATCTGGTGGAACAAGCTCTGGAAGCAAGAGACAATGACACCAGTTCTAGCTCTGTGGTTAAACCACTGTGAAAACACACTTTTCCTCTTTGGGCTTCAGTTTTCTCATCTATGAAATGGGGATAATTATAGTCTCTGACAGGATTAATTTTCCAAAACTTTCCAGTTTAGGCCTCTCTCTATTTTAGACTAAGCTGCTTTTACTTCGTGTATTTTAGGCTAGATAAATTATTTTTGGGGGACAGCATTCTTTTTCAATAACAGTGACTCAACCAGGAGGGTATTTCAAGCCCCTTTTCAGAGTCGGGGGTGGGAGGAAGTTTGAAAAAATTAGATTTTAAAATTACTATTCGTTCAATATTTTAGTATTAATCTTCAACTCATTTTGAATATTAGACACAATTTAAAGACTATCAGATTTTATTTATTGGAAGAGAAGGAAACAAACGTGATTTGGGGAAGGTTGGATACCACTGTTACGTGAATATTCAAAGAGGAGAGCAGATACCTCTTCTTACCTCTTTCTGTATCGTAGAGGTACACAAACTTCTCCCACTTGTAGTGACCCAGAAGACTCAGAATAGCGCCCTTCAAAGCTGGACGCATCTGGATGACAAACTGCACGTCTGCGTCAGTGGGGAAGCTAGGCGTGACAAAGGACGTGTGCAGGGCCCCACAGAAGGAGGTCAGAGTGTTCATTGACATCTGGTCATAAAATCCAAAGATAGCATATACTCCTCTCGAGAACTGGGAGCAGACTGCAATGAGAAAAAGAGAAAGAAATTTCAATAGTCCCATTGTCCCTTGTTGCATCTTGGAGGGTTGGAAACACCATATATACTTAGGCTTTGACCATATAGTTAGGCTTTGGTTCTAAATGACATGCCTCAAAAGAAAACCAAGATCTCTGAAATCTCTAGAAGCTGTTGACAGCCTAGTTGCCAAGTAGGAGAAGAGTAAGGAAGGGAAGAATTTATTCACTCATAAGTAGAAAATAAAAACAACAGTAACAACAAACACATAGACATAGAGATTAGATTGGTGGTTTCCAGAGGGGAAGGGGTGGGAGAGAGGAGGGCAAAAGTGATAATAGGGCATATGTGTACAGATGGTAATTAGTCTTTGGGTGGTGAACATGATGTAGTCTGTACAGAATTCAAAATATAATGATACACACCTGCAATTTACGTAATTTTATAAACAAATGTTACCTCAATAAAAAATTAAGTTTAAAAAGACTGTAAAATAAAAAAAGAATTTATTTGATTGAGTTGAATACTCTCTATGTCTACCATGAGCAAGAAACTAAGAAATTATGGGAAGGAAAGAGGTGAAGGTTGTTTTACCCTCTTTCAGCAACCCTCCCAGCTCACCCCAAAGCACTCTATGTTCTTGTACTTTCACCATAGCTGCCCAGAGGCCTCTTAGTGTACCCACGCCTCTATCAAGGTACAACTGTCTTGTGTCCCACCTCTTTGGTGTTTTTTCAACTAGGTGACAATAATGACTGATGATTTAGTCAGACAAACTTCTAATGTGTCTGCTAGGAAATGTGTTACTCCTCTTAGGCTACATAATGCTTTAACATAGTTATGATTATGACCCTTAACGTAGGCTACTAATGAAGAGGATTTCAGATTCTGGGTAGGCCATAGGGAAGACGCCTTGCAGTGCCCAGCGAGTTACAAGGTAGGTCGGCCTATTCTGTCCAAGCATAAATGGCAAAGTTCTATCTTGATATTTTTATATTTCTAGATCTATTAGCCCACATATAGAACTTTCATGTCCCCCTCATGATCGTGGTCAGCTTTCCTTCATTTCAAAGTGGGCCACACCACCACCTCTTCCCTGTTCTGGCCCAGATGAGCTTAAAAAATATAAACCAGTTTCAATATTAGCTTAAGTAGAACATAATTAGCAAAGCAAATCAACTACAACAACACCATGTGCTGCATTCCCAAACCAAGTGGAAATGATCTTTAGATTATCTGCACTACTGCTCCCTTCCATTCATGCGAAGCAGACAGAAGAGGCAGCTGATAATGTGGTATGATTTAAGGGGTCCTGCATCATCTCCCTTACCTGCTAGGAAGCTACTGTTTGGCTTACTTCTTCAGGTTTAGGGTGTTAAAAAAAGTCTGTGGCTTGGGAGAGGGATGAAGTAGAATCTTTTTCAGCTGTTAGCATGTTAAGGTGAATTAATATGTTTGATTAGACTCCATGACAAGTGGGAAAGCAGGTGGGAAAGTTTTCATGGAAATGAGTGAGTCAGGGAAGAGAATGTAAAGGTTCTGGAGTCCTCCCTGAGAGGAGAAACAGTGAAGGCATTGGGCACCAAAAAGAAGAAAGGCATGGAAAATAGGATGAAGACGAGTGGAAAACCAATTTAATTCATGTCTTGACCTCATTGTGAGAAACGGAGTTCTCAGTATCTGTGGTATCTTGCTTTCCCTGCATTCTCTTGAAACTTGTATTGATTAGGGCTGCTCTCTTATCAGCCAAATTCATTAGTCATTGGCTTGAGGGTAGAATTTCAAAGGTGATTATCAGTCACTCAAGCTGCTTCATCAGGGAAGACAATAGCCTTCAATTTGAGGAATTCTAAGTGACCCCCAAACATATGCACCAAGAAGTCTTTATAGTAAAAGGAGAAAGCCAACTAGGGAATGATTCTGGGGCACTTCATGACAGGGGGCCAAAGGGAGTGTTCGGAAACAAAAAGAAAGTGACTAGATGGCACTTTGTCTTGGTCATCACCAAAGGAGACACTAAGGAGAGTCCTATACCGAAATTAATCCTATAAATGGAGAGTTTTGCAGTACCAGATCAAATCTTTGGCAGCACACATAATGTTCTGAATAAAATTGACAGTAATAATGATTACAGCCACTGAGTGCTTAGTAGGTACCAGGCACTGTGTTAAATACTATACAAATATTATCTCATTTAATATTACCAACAATCTCATGAGATATTTCCATTATTTATATTTAATAGCTAAGAATTTTGAGACAAAAAATGTTCTATCTCTTGAGTAGAGGAGCCAGGATTTGAACCCAAGTCTGTCTGACTTCAAAACTAACACTCCCTGTGATCGAAAACCAATAATGATACTAAAGAGTAGTTATTGGCCCAAATGAGTTGGGCTTCCAGGTTTAGCAAATAAAAATATAGAATGTCCAATTAAATTTGAATTTCAGATAAATAACAAATTATTTTTTAGTATAAGTATGCCTCAAATTCATACATATAATAAAAATTATTTGGTTTTTATTTAAAATTCTAATTTAACTGGGGATCCTGAATTGTATCTGGCAACCCTAGAAAGGACCTGTCCTTATTAATGGTCATGAAGCTGGAAGGCTGGAACAAGCCGTCATGGCCCCTCACCCCAAATGATTCAGGAAGTAGCCAGTAATTCTTAGATTCATACCAACTAGCATGCAAGGCCCAAGAAAAGATGAGGATCCATGAACCCTGTACAAAAATAGCCTCCTGGGGAATGCAACATATTTTCAACAAGGAGAGCCGCAACCCCAACCTGACTAAATTATGGTTAGTAATTGAGGGAGAAATAAACTTGGAGAGAGGCAAAACAGATCACTTAGAGTTTCAAAAAGCCCTTGATATATTGGAAGAGATAGAAAATAAACGTTAGTATGTTCTGGTGGTAAGATTCTGTTTAATAAAAAAATTTTGTATTGCTCTTGTAATCACTGTTTTTGAACCTCACGGGTACAGAATTAATTAATCATTACTGGTTCATATATGGACCTTTCATATTTTATTGATTTATTTATGTAAAATATAATGAATACTCATAAAACCATCATCCAGCCCAAGAGCTATAACATTACTGATAACTTAGTTTGAGCTATGTCTTCCTCCTCTATTCTATCTCCCTGTTTTGACCCCTCCCTTGCTCAGAGGTAACTACTCTCCTGAATTTTGTATTTATCATTACTTGGTCTTTTAAAAAGATACAAACACACACACACCTAAATAATATAATGTTAGTTTTGCTTGTTTTAAAACTTTATAAGAAGGGAATCATATTGTGTATGTGAAACCCAGACTCCAGGAAGGAGTACCCAGTGAAATCTTTAAGCCTATGTATGATGACAAGCAGAATGAAACAAAGGTGGACCTTATCAAAATGCGTGAGTGAGCAGGTATGAGGGAACCCTGTGAAAATAAAAAGTAAAAAGTTCCAAACTAAGCTTACAGGTTTGGTTGTGGCTCAGGCAAGGGACTTAGGAGTATTCTAGATCAGCAGCAACCCTCAGGGAGCACTGGGCTACTGTGGTCCAAGAGGCAGACCCACAGTGGTGGACATCAACAAGAACAGTGTTAGAAGGAAATCAGTAAATGTTCTATTCCCTTCATATAAAACAGTTGCAGCTGTCCTGTAAATACTATTGTGCACAGTTACCCTTGTTCTATCTCAACATATACAAGTAACATAAGTAGAAGGTCCGATGGGGAAGACACCTGTCAGTTGAGGACAGGGTTAAACAGCCTCTGAGAGAGACTAGGACATAGGGGACGTGTGAGTGACCTTTCACAGTGGATCCCCAGTGCCCGATCCCGGCTGCAGAAAGTGGGGCTGAATGGAACCCTGACCTGACCCAAAGGACTGTGTTTATGTTTTTAGATTCTTAGAATGTTTGAGCTAGAAGGAACTGAAAGACTATTTTATTCAGTGGTTTTTCAAGCATAGTTTTTAGTGTAGAATCCTTCCTCCTATATGAAATTTTATGTGGAAAAGTCTAATATGTAAAAGAGATAAAGTGGACCTCTTCTGATTCAACACAGAATTCCACTGACGCTTCCCTATCATAAAGAAACTGTGACACAAAGGGAGGCAGTGTCTTGCACAAGGTCACACAATGAATTATGAAGCCGTCTCTTAGAAATGCTTTATCAGCATCTCTGCACCATCCCTACTCCAGAGTTATCTAGGGCAGCATGGGTCAGGATTTGCCTGGCATGAAAGTGACTTACCCTCAATACCTAGGTCTCAGCATACATGGATCCACCAGGGGTTTCCCATGACTCATCTGCCAGCTGCTTCTCTCAGTCCCCTCCAAATACCAACAATGAGAGCAGGTGGCAAACTGGTGATCTTTTGGGACTTATAATTCTTTTGGGCGATGTCTGTTACCTTTATATGAATCCTTAATGAACCACACTCATTTCTTTATCTCAGAAGACTAGTCCTTGGTAAAATGGTGACGGAAGAAATAGTTATCTTGGTAATCTTATGAAGCTGTGAAGTGCAGAGGAACGGGCAACAGCTCTGAGACAGACGGACCTTGGTTCCAATTATGGCTCTGCCAGTCTTAAGCTGCATAACTCTGTGCAAGTTACTTAACCTCTCTGAGCTTCAGTGTAGGACAGTGATTACAGAAGCAGGTTTGGGAGTTAGATCATATAGGTTGAAATCCTGAATTCATCACATATTAAACAAGTTACTTAATATCTCTGTGCTCCTGATCCAGTTTCTTCATTGATAAAATTGGGATAATAGCAGTGCCTGTCTCAGCATTGGTTGTGAAAGTTAAAATGAGTTCGTTCATGGGAAGCATCTATAATGGTGCCTGGTATGTAATAGATACTCAATTAATGCTAGCTATTTATTCATGCAACAGGTATTTATTGAGCATCCACTATATGCCAGGCACTGTCACAGGTATTGGAAGATACAGGAGAAAGTAAAGATTGTGTCCTCTTGGAACTTATATACTAGTGAGAGGAA